TAGGACTTCTTCCCGATTTCTAGACTTTTATTTGCCTACCGGACATCTGTCCTGGAGCCCACAGGCACCCAGCCAGACTGAATCAGTTGTCTCCTCTCATGACTTGCCCCTCTTCCTGCCCTTCTTCTTTCAGGGAATGGCACCAGAATTTAGGACACTGCCAAAGCCAGAAAGCTAGCTGGCATCTTTGACCTCTTCCTCCCCCTTCCATCACACCTGCGGCCAATCCGTCCACCTGCTGAAATGCTGTCTTCTCTCTCCTTCCGGCCGAGCCGAGGCAGGCCTCACCATGTATCTGCCAGTAGGTCTCCCTGCCTCTGTCTAGTTCCTTTCTAGACCACCTTCCATGTCTCCTCCACCTTGAAGGCACACAGAGTCCTTTGTGATGTGCGCCTGCGATCTCTCCACCTGGCTGCCTCCCCCGCCTGCCACACCCTGCGCTCACTTCTAGACTGTCTGCGGATCCTGGAAGGGACCTGGCTGTCTCTCGTCTCTCGCCTTTGCATGTGCTGCTCCCCAGGGGGAAATGGCCTTAACATTCTACCTTCACTGATCACCTCTAGGGCATCTCAGAACTCAGCACGGTGGTCCCTCTGGGACAGCCTTGGGTACAGTTCTGGCTCTCTGTGCCCAGAGCACCCTGTGCTGACTCTTATCCAAAGCCCTCTTACCACGCTTCCATAACCATCACTTCACTATGACTCCTGTGCGCCCAGGAGCTCCTGGAAGCGGGCACTGTCTTTTTTCTCTCTTCTCAGAGAGTAGAGACTCACATACAATGATGGAGGGGGCAGTGGTTATTCCGGAATTGCTCTGTAGGAAGGGTCCAGGGGTAACAGTCTGGTTGGAAGAAGGGCTTGGGGGATTTACCCTGAAGCCACGTGTTCAACGAACATTTCATGTTGTTTTTATCTACTATTTGAAGTTCCAAGTCTTAAAACAGAAAAACGATTTCTAAAAATTACTCATACTTTACTGAAGATTGAGAAAAATGGCAGTTTTCCATATTTAAGAATATTATTTTAACTTGGGGTGACTGGGGTGGTGGAAAACAGAAATGCAGGGGCTACTAAAGCATTCTTGTCCCCCCCCCCACCTCAGGTCCTTTGGACAGGAGAGAGAGAGGGACGTGAGGAGGAGCAGACTGGAGGGTGGACCGTGTACCGCTTTTAAATTATGACAGTTACTTGTGCTTTTTTAAAACTTTTTTTAAATGGAGGTACTGGGGCTTGAACCCAGGACTTTGTGCATGCTAAGCACGTGCTCTAGCACTGAGCTATACCCACCATTCCCCTGATACTTGTGTTTTTAGTGGGCAATAACCTGCTGTTAGCAGATGCTTTAGCGTTAGACAGTCACCTGCCTCTGCCCATCACATTACTACCTTTCCCCTGAAGTAGAGTCTGTTTTCACAAGTTCAGTAAATTATCTACATTTTTTTTCTAAAAACAAAAAAGCATTAACTCATTTTTCTCTTTAGTATTGCCTATAAATAAAATGTGATTTTATTGACTATGTACCGAAGTGTTAAGGGTAATAATTAAGTACAGATGTCTGAAGCATCGGTCCCTCACTGAAGATCCACATTCTGCTGGTCTCTCTGTCAGTCACCTTGTTTCTGGAGTTCTGGAAGCGGCGCCAGGCAGAACTTGAGTACGAATGGGACACAGTTGAGTTGCAGCAGGAAGAACAACCCCGGCCAGAATACGAGGCGCGGTGTACGCACGTGGTGATAAATGAGATTACCCAGGTAAAGCGGGCGCTACTGAGACGCACTTCAGTCTGTTGGTTGCAGGGCTTCCCAGCCTTGGCTGCACATCGGAATCGCCAGGAGACCTTAAAAGATGTTGGTGCCCGGGTTCCATCACTACAAACTCAGACGGTACTTAGTGGCCTGGGGTGCGTTCTGGCACAGGGAATGTTTTAAAGCTCCCCTGGTGATTCTAATGTGCAGCCAAGGTGAAGGAGCACTGCTTAGAATGGTGGACACAGAAGAGAAGTGTGGTCCTTCCTTCATAATAACAGCAAAAATTTTAAAAAAAAGACTGATATAAATGTGTAAGAAAAGATTGGTGTCCTTTCATAAGACCGATAAAAAAATGCAAAAAAAATTAGACTCTATGACATAGATGTAGAAGGAAAGACACGGTTTTTATGGCTGATTCTCACTTTTTCACATGTGCCTTCATTATTGCCGCCTCCTTTTCATCGTAGACTAGCTGCCCCTTTGTCTTGAACTAAGCCTCGGTCACTGCTCCCCCTTCTGGTTGGGATGTGCACAGAGCAGCGTGGCTCTCATCCTAAAGTTGGAGAAAAGGGTAGAGGAAGTAGGGAAACCTTTGTTGAGAGGCCAACTGTGTTCGGGCACTGAGCTAGACATTTTATATTATTGGAAAGGTAAATTTACTGCTGCTGCAAAATTTTAAAAAAACCCTACATATCTTTGTATAAGCGTTCCAGAGCCGTGAAAGATGATTTTTTGAGTCATCTGCATTATTGCTTCTTTCCATCAGCCAAGATAATTCAGAGCTGATGGTATTTGCAGTCAGCAGCAGCAGGACAGTATGTTGTGAGTACGAATAACTCTTGAAAAGAAAATGCTTTTACCAGGAGCATCTGAAAATGTCTCCAACTATAGATTTTATAAATTGAATCACAGATTTACAGAATGTTGGCACTGAAAAGGTCTGGAGGGAGCAGTTCAACCTCCTCTTTTTATAAATGGAAAAAAATGAGGTTCAGTTACCAACAGAAGGTGACATTTGTCTTTTACAGGGTAACAAGCTTCTAACAATCTCCATTATGAATAGTCCCCATTGTTTATGACTGAAGATGGTCAGGTTGTGTTGGTGAAAGATTGTACGTTCAGAAATGAAAGCTGAAAGTTAGACAAAATTAGATGTTCGTAATGTTTTTGAGTAGTGAAAAACAAAAATGTATCATATTGGCAGCATACAAAAAATACTGAAGAAAAACCATTTTGGTCGCTTAAACTGCCAATTTTTAATTTAAAATTGCCAACTAATAAGTTTAAATTTCCACTGGGACATGCTTGTTGAAAAATTGAAGATGAAGGCTCATTTCTCTTTATTGTTCTTCCTTATTTAAAAAATTGTTTATATATATATTTTTTAGTTTTTTAATTTAAGTATTTTACTTTAATTGTGAATGCATGTGCCATTGTCTAGAGAGGCCAACAGTGTGGTAGTGAGACCTTGGGAATGAAATTGCCTAAATTAATGTGTGAACACAGCAACTTGTTGCCTGAGTGATCTTGGGCAACTTAACTTCTCTGTGCCATGGTTTCCTATAAAATAAGATTAAGAGAGTTGCTTCCTCATGACTGTGGTAAGGACGGGTCGAGTTAATGTACAGAATCTACTTGGGAGACTACCTGGCACAGAGTAAAGGCCAGGTACTTATTTCCAGCTATTATACTATAGCTGCTTTTATACCCAGGTAAATCTTGAGTCTTAATTGATTTCATCTCTAAAAACAAAAGATCTAAACTCTAAAATGGAAAGTAAAAATTGCGAGTTGTAGCTAGTTTATACATAAAGCTCAACCAAGAAACACACAGTGGAGACCAGTTAGCTGCAGACACCTGTGAAACTTTCCATCCTGCACGGACTCTAGGCTGTCATTACACTGACTTCTGAAATCTAAGGCAAGCTCAGGAGTAGAGCTTTACGGCTTGGCCTCGTCAGGTACCCAGACCCCTAAGCTCAGACCATGGCAGGGAAACAGTTTACTGTTCACATGTGCATTTTCAAAAAATAGTATTAAAAT